GATGGGCGGTTCCCCGGCGCGCGGTGTGACGTCACCCGGCCGCCAGTCGCGCGCCGCCATGGGGAAGAGCCGGTCGCGCGCGGCCAAGGCCGCCGACGTGTTCAGCATCGCCCGCAGCGGCGCCAGGGCCAAGGGCAGGGGCAGGGCCAAGGCGCGACCCGTCACCTCCGCGCTGAAGCAGGTGAGTGGCGCGGGGGCCGCCCGTGTCGGGAAAGGCCCGGGAGCGGCAGAGCGCAGGTCCTACGCGGGGCTGCGGCCGGGGGGGCCTGGACGCTTCCCTGGGGTTTGGCTCCTTCTCCTGGGCAGACGGAGCGGCGCTGTCCGATGGGCAGGATGCTGCTGGGGAACAAATGGCCAAGTACACAGTTTGCACCTGAAAACCAGGTTTATAGGTGGATGTCGTCACCCTCGAAAAGGAAAGCACAGAAAGTCTGTTTGACTAATTTCCTGCAGGCACCTGCCATGTACGACTTGACGCTGTTCTCCTTGAGGGGGGTCATTTGGAACAGATATCTGATAGCATCTGATGCTGTAATTCAGGGTACAGTGTAACAGACTGGCTTGATTCAAACCACTAGGCACAGATGCTGCAAGGGGAACTCCTGCTCGTTTCCCTCATGTTCCTGACCCCAGATTCCCTTACCAGGCTCTGGGCTGTGTTCCCACAGCTCACCTTGATACTGGCTTGGAAACTCATTGCATGCTAGATGATACAACTTGCTAAAGCAGCAGCAACAACAATTAAAAATGCATTTTGCATTTTTCTCTGCTGGACTTGTGAGCTGAACACTAAATTATGAATTAGTGCAAAGAGAAACATTTTTTGGGAGAAACATTTTTTGGGAGAAAAAACTGGAAAGGATGGAGCCTTTTCTGATCCAGAGGCTGTTTATTTGTCCAAGTTGTCAAGTAAAACTGTGTCAGTGAGATGCAGTGAACAGACCTATGAGCACACACTGCCATAGGTTAAGTTGCAATGTCCCTTTTGACACCTTAGGTGGACTGGGATGCTCCTCAGACCCTGCTGTGACCTTATTTAACACACTAGAGCAATGGGAAAGTAAACAAGCAAAAGTAATTTTCATGTCTGGAGAGCATCACAGCCCAGAGGAGGAAGAGAGTGGGTTGTGTGGCTAGAAGCAATGCAGGGGAAGAGGACTGGGGTTATCTAAGCAAGAGTTTTCCATTTGGTAGCAGCAAGTCATTATACAGTTATCTTCTCAAATCCTGCCTCCTGCCTGAACTGTGTGATCTGCTGACAGTTCAGCCTGCCACTCTAGAAGGGCATTTGATAATAAAAGCAGAAAGTTAGGGGCTTACTGTTCCTGTTAGATTTAGTTGCAGTTTGCTAAGCAAACAGGGTTAAATAGCAGCTCTAAAAAAAAAGGCCCTTTCAGATTTTCTCCTGGAAGCTAAAGCCACTTGACAAGTTAATCTGGTAGACAGACAGGAGTGTAACAAACTGGAAATAAACAGGAAGCCTCAAAACAATTTCATATTGCTGGGTGTCACATCCCTACTTAGTCTAGAGGGCTCTATATAATAAAGACTCAAGGAAAGACAGTAGCTTATTAGGAGTAAAATTTTATTCTGTGTGTTTGAAGCCATATTCTTTAATTCATTAAGCCTCCAAGGATTTACTTATAATTAGGCAGTACAGGACAATGCTCAGAAAAACTGTTAAAATAGGTTCGTTCTTTAATACATAAAAGCCCATTATAACTATTTGAACCATTTTTTATATAGACACACATGGTAGCTATAGAGCCTCCTTCTACAGAGGAGTCTTGCCAGAGTAGCTGAGAAGGATACCAGGTATTAAAACTGACTGGAACCTTTCAGCACCCCTGTGAAGCTGGAAAACAGTGGCAAGCCCTGATGGGAAACCTAAGCTCTTTGTGTATTGCATTGCCCACAGTCCCATCCACTCTGCCTTGAGCTAGGAGCCAAGTCCCTGTTTCTTGGGTCACCATCCATGTTATTATGAATTAAACCGCTAATCTGAATAGACTTGTTTTATCAGCCTCTTGCCCCTGCTTTCTTACTACTGGTTCTTTTGGTCTTGCACTTAGAATAAATTTAATTACTGTTAATGTACACATGCCCTGACATCACGGAAGCTTTGAAAGCAAAATGAATACGTGTAACACATCACGGTTTACTTCTGCTTATGTAAGTTGCTGAGAAGTGAATTACAGGAATTACCTTTGGAACAACAGTAGGCATCCTGGAATCTGGGATTGCCTGAAGAAGTATCAGCGTGCTTCTGGAACATTTGCAATGTAATAGGCCAGTATCTGGCTACAATCATGTTCCAAACTTGGTGCTTCAGAAGCAACAGGTGCTAGGGCTGAGATCAGGTGAACCTCTAATTTGCTGCAGTTTGAAAGAGTTGATGGCCTTGTGCATCCTCTACCACAGAAAATTGTCCTCGGAGCACAGCATGTGTCCCTCTGTTAGGTTTTCCCTCTGAAAGCATGCACCTTTGCGGAAAATAACTTAAAAAGGCAGATTTGGGCTAGTAAGTGAAGCTGTGAGGTGTCCAGGGACCAGATACATGTCCTGGTCTGCTGCAGCCATACAAGTTTCTTTAAATACCTTAGCAAAATCTGACAGATGTTGCTGGCTAGACCTACAGTATGAATAAGTAGAAATGTGATGCTGAAAGGCAAACTGCTGGAATAAATTCCAAATGGTAAGACCATTTACAAAGGAAGGAGCCCTTCCTGGAACTCCTTTCCAGCTAAGAAGAGCTGAGGGCAGCATAGCATGGCCTGTCCAGTCTGGCTTTTTTCTTTGTGTTCTGTTTCTGGATCACTATGGGGTCCCTTTCCAATCGAACAAGTTTAACTGCTTTCATAAATTTAATTTATTAGAACATTAGTAGTACATGACTTAATGATATAATTAAGTAGCAGGTAAACTAAAGTTTAAAAACATACCTATGAAAAAGTAATTTTGGAAGATATGCATGTAACACCAGCTGTTCAATAGTTATACGAAATAGGTGTAATTTTACATGCCAGTGGAATTTCAGTTAAAAATACCAATGTGTGTCTTTTTTCCCTCCTAGATAAACATTAGAAATGCTGAGAAAGTTAATGCAATAAATAAAGCATTTGCTGAAGTTCAGAAAGAAGTACAGCAGCTATCAAAAGGCACAGCAGCAGAACCTCAGGAGAGTCAGCAGGTAATTACCCTTTGTAAAAAATCTGAGGAGGTAAATGAGGAAAGTGCGTGTTCAAAGCATTATGTTCTGGCTCTAAGAGTGCAGCCAATTAATGCAGTTACTTTAAAGCTATAATCCCAGTTTTATTCATTTCAGCTATGTGGTAATGTTGAAATCTGGTTAGCATATTCAAGTGCTGTGTAACTACTAAAGTCAAGAATGGGGTGGGTAGCCAAGCCAGAGCATGCTTGCAAAACATCCTTTGAAATTATATTCTAGGTGTTTTTTAATTGATTTTTTCAAAGTTAATTCCAGCTTCAGCCCCTTGATTAGAGACTTATGCCTCAACAGGAATAGACACAGAAAGTAAGGATGAACCTTGCTGTTTCCTACCTGAAACACGCAACAGTGCTTTGAACTAAAGAACGTTGCCTCTTTCTGTTCCCAGTTCCTAAGCCTTCATATTCCCTCATCACAAGTACCAAAACCTGCAACAGCAATTTCTGTAGTAGAGCTCTTGCCTTGCAGCACTTAGGGTTCAAGACAGTGGTACGCATGTCTTCCTTTGTCTGCTCCATTACTAAACAGGGCTACCTGCAGTCTTGAGAAAGAAATACATTTGCAGACTTTAATTGCAGACAAGCTCCTCTGTATAAACTCTTATTGCTGACGCTTCATGGTGCATGGGCATGGTTTGGGGGAGAAAGCCATGGGCCAGGATGAAGTACAGATTAATCCATCTTGGCTGTTGAGGGAAGTAGAGGGAGTTGGGAGAAGTGGATATGACTTGAGTTTTAATTACTGTGCCTGGGGTGACCAAGTTCCTGTAAGGCTAGGAGCAACAGAACGAGTGTGAAATACCTTAAGGAAAGGCTGAGGGAAAAATGAAACTTAGGTGACTTGTGCCAGCACAGTATGAGGCTAAGCAAGGGTTTCAAGACAGTTGGTGGCCCTATCCCTGCTGGCTTGCTATTGCATGCAGCCAGGAATTCAGACTCAACCACTGCTCACATGCTGGTAGGGCTGTACGTAATGTAACGTTGGATTTCATCACTTAGGCAACAATACTGTTTTCTCCAAAATGGCAAAATTACGTGGTCTGAAGCGTTTCCTGAACTAGCTTTAAGCCTATTTGCATTTGACCACGTATGTTACGTTACTGGCATGATGCCTTGTCTTTCTCCTGCAGTACAAGGTATTGGCTGCTTATCTGTCAAGTTTACTTAATTCTGTGGTTCCCCAAGATACTGAATTATGACTGTAAAATAAGTCTAAATTAAATATGTAACGATAAATTAATCTTCTAGGTAACAGGTATTTATTAGTGTGGGTTTTTTTCAAGCAGAGTAAAAAGACACTGCTTTCTACTTCAAACTGTGACTAATTTATTTTAGGTTTCTGCACATCTGGAAGAGGAACCAGCGAACGTGGATGCTGCCACAAGCCTATTATCTCAGTTGTAATGCATAATGGACGATGAAGGGATTGCAAGGAATGAAGATCAAAAGTACTGATGGCTTTGTTTGTACAATTTTATTAAAAAAATCTTGTTAATATACAAGTATTGGCACACTTTAATACAAACTACAAACAGACCTTTCCTGTCATCTAGGAAAGTGGAATGTCAGAAGTCAGTGTGAGAAACTTAAAGTGCTAAAACAGAAGGCACTTCACAAAATTGGTTCACTGAAACAATTTAGCATAACTCAAGTTGGTATCCGTTACTTTTCAGCTTGGCAGTGAAAGCTCCAAAATTGATTGAAAGGTATAAAAAAAAAAAAAAGGCTTCTTGGCAGTAAAGCTTCAAAGAAAATGCTGTTAACAGTGAGAAAGAAGTCTTTTTTTTTTTTTTTTTTAAATGATCAAAAGGCTGTGAAGCATTTTTGCTTTTCTTACTAAGAAGAAATCCAAATAATTGGATTATACAGAGGACACTCAGGTGAAAAAATGTGCCAGAATTTTTGATGAAAGCCCTTTTTTCTGGTTGAATTTGTTTTGTGAAGTAGTTAAAGGAAGCAAAAGGAAATAAACTCCCAGAGTCAGTGAACTAAGAAGTTATACATTCATTATTCAAATACTTATGTTATGAAGAAGTCTAGAATGTTATAGTTAGAGGTAGATAAGTAGTCTGGTTGACACAATATCTAATAATTTAGTATCTGCACATCAAAGAGATCACAGACTCCTTCATTATCATCCAGGTTAAAGTTGTAGTCATCTCCGGGAGTAGGAGAGAGTCGTAAGAGAGGAAAAACTGTAAAGCAGGAATAGTTTAGTTTAAATTAAAACACTTGGAATATCAGCCCTATTTCATAATTCATTATGTTTGTCATCACCACTATCAGGGTTGTTAATCTTAACAATTAAAATAGTCTTGATAATCTGACAAGCATGCTAAGAGACATACTGTGAATACCTACCTGTACTGCCTTTAAACTAAGGCAGTTAAAAGTGAGACTTCTACATTTTTTCCTTAGTATTTTAAGTGAATTTCCTGGAATCGAGCGATAGCTGTGGAATATGGGCTTAATTTCTCTTTCTGCAGCAAAGGAGTTCCTGAACAGCTTTCAAAACTAATCAGAAAGCCATTACTGTGTTTTGATTTTTTAAATTTTTTACAGTATTGCATACATTAGCTTTGGAATATTTATAATTTTAAGTAAGGAAGTTACCATTCCTATTTTACAGATGAAAAAATGGATGCTAGCAGCTTCTCTGTGCACTGCATTGCAAGCATGGACTTGAAGCCATTTTTGGGTAGAGAATGCAAGAGGAGAAGCCTCAGCCCTTGTGCTGCACCTCAGGAACACTAACCTATTGCAGATGAGCCAGGCATGCTGTACCTGCTCTAAAAGTGAAGACTATTTCCATTTTAGCCATGTACTGGCACATTCATATATTCCCTTGGATCTTAAAATTGCATGGTTCTTTCTGTATATGCCCTGAGGTTGTCTGCTTGACGGGCAGATATCAGGAGAGGCTGCTCACAGCAGCATGTTTACAGAGCAAGAGGAACAACGCCAGCTGAGTTCACCTCTGCCTGGCACCTCGGTGAGACAGAGCAAGGAGGCAAGGAATATGTAAACTTTCCAGCTGTGCTTCAGTTCTGCACTCATGACCACTAAGATGCAAGAGCAGAGAGGGCTGATATTTGTCTATTCTGTGCATGTACCAAATCTGGCCATGTATCAGTCTGCATGCAGGCATGTAAATACATTCTGAAATGCTTACTCAAAGACCCCGCAAGAAGCCTGAGGCTGAACAGAATTAAACCAGATTTATTTATTTAAGGCAGCACTCTTAAGTCATCAGCCTGTTTTTTTTCTCGTTCTTGAATTAAGGACTAGTGGGTTACTCATGCATGTAAGTGCTTGTTGGATTAAGACTTTCCAATTTTGATTGTTAAACTACTGCAGGGAAGGGAAAGGGGAGCAAAGACAAGAATGACAGATAGAGGAGGCAGTACAGGGGAAAGAAATAGTTTTGTACTGACTTTTGGCAGCAGACTTAACAGATCCTACCAAGAGTGCTGTTTACACATGCTGCTAACTTGTCATTATTAAAGTAAAGATGGTAAATACTTACCATCGGAAGACATGAGTTCATCAATAATATCCCCACTGAAATTTTCTGTGAAAGACAGGAGCATGTGTTTATCAAAGTCAACACAGATTCTCTGCATTAAAGCACTGAATTGCAATGTACAGTATGGCTTGTGCACAGTGCAAGTGGTGGAGATAGGCATGCCATGTATACATAAAATATATTCATCTTTGTGTCCTTCAGTTTTTCCTGATACTTTTCTCTCACAGATTAAAACCCTAGAGCCATATAAAATATGAAGCTGATTTGATGGCAGAGAAAGGTATTTTGCTCAAAATGAGTTTGCTCCTAAGAGCTGGCTCAGGGGCTTCATTAAGAGATCAACAGGCCTGTCATTTTCCCTGTGTTAACTTGTCGGTAGCCTGGTCACAAAGAAGGACTCAGGAAACTAATAAAAACATTTAAATAGTAACTGCTGCTCCCTACCTGTGGGCTCCTCCATCTTTGCTATGTCGAATGTGTTTGGCTTGAGAATACAGTTAACATCCAGGGGCAGCAAGCCCTGGTAGTCACTGGAGCTCGCTGTGGCTTGGGCGTCATCTCCTGAAAGGCTGGGGTACAACACGGGCTCTGGGAGGCTGGAGTAAGGAGCTGCTGGGGTTGAACTGCTCTCCTGTGTGCTGCCGTCTAGAAAGACAGAAAGGCCCTCTATAAAGTCTGTTACAGTAAAAAGGAACACAAAAGGCTTGCACTCGGCTGTGCCTTTTGAGGAAAACATGGCCAAAGTCTGGGATGAAGTGACAGGAGTCTCCCCCTTCTATAGTCACAGGCACAATTTAATCAAGACCCCTCAGAAATGCAGTCAGTGACAGCATTTTCTTAAATCTTTTTGTATTATCCTACTATTATTATGAAAAATACCTGATATTCAGGCGGTCTCTCACTGTGGCTGTGTGGAACAAAGTAACTGATCTTGTGGGACAAAAGCTGCAACTAGTGCCTGTATGACATGTCTCATCAAAAGGTACATGTTCAAATCACACACTCCCATCAGAGGCCAGCAATTTTATTCCATACTGCGTTCTGGAGAGGCACCTCTGAATAATTAACAAATCACATCCAACACTTTCTCAGTATAAGATGATAAGCTACAAGGGGTAATCTGTTTCACCAGACAGATAAAGAGGAAAAGGCTTCTCTGTAACCTCCTGAGAGCTGTCAGTAAACCCTTGGGGTAGTTTCTTAACAGGCCAACTGCTACACTATGCAAATTCTTGATCTTTCCTTTAGATAGAGTCTTCCTTCCCTCCAGTCTCTTTCCTCCCCCACTCATCTGAGGTGGGAAAAAATCCTGGACTTACCTGATGGCGTGTCCACAACTGATGTTGGTGGTATCTCTTCTCCTTGGTTAAGACCTTGTTCTGGTGGATTTTGAGGAGCTGTTGCAGGTTTAAGGGGAGTTGCTGGAGCTGCAGGTTGAGATGGGGGCTGTGCAAGGTCATCAGGTGGAGGAACTGGAAACACCACAGGCTTGGAGGAGCTTGATTCTTTATTTATAAGCAGCACATGGATAGGTCCTGAACTACTTTTAAGATTGATCTGGTATTTCTTCTGTCCATTCTGTCCCTGTAGAGGTGGTGTATTAAAAAAGTTACCATTCCTTAAGAACTTGGAACTTCACAAAAATGTAACAATAACTGCATAGAGCTATTTCCCACAGAAAATAGTGAAGATGTTTGAAGAGAATTCTCAAACTGAAGCAGAAGATAAATATATTAAAAAATATATTTAAAACTAATACATGTGATCTAATGATAAAAAAACCTAAAATGCAAACAGATTACAAACCTGTAATGTATTACCTGACCAGCACACAGTTACACCAGACACAAATAAACAGCCCTTTGAAGCACTTAACTCCATCTTGAATTCAAATTACATGATACTTAGCTGGGCTACATCTTATCAATAACAGCAGTGATAAATAATGAGTTCTGTACATTTAAATTTCTTCCTTTTAAATGGAGCTTCAGAATTATCCTGGTTGGGACCAATCATCCTAAAACACCCAGACTCAGTCTGGGTCTCACCCAGACTGAGTCAACATGGGATCCCGAGTCAGTAGAAACAGTTTCTTAGATGATTTGCCAGGCCTTTTTTTGGCAAGTTGTTTAGTCAGTACAGCTAGGACTAGCTTCCTATATCACTAACTCTGCAGTGGCCAATTCAGCAAGTAGGTTTTCAGCAAGTAATGTTTTAGAAAAAATGAGTATGAGAAAAGTGGGAAAGGAGTCTTAGGGGAAGGGAAACCCAGACAGAAACATCTAATTTGAACTTGGTGATGAAGACTAAGATCAGCTGTTTTAGTCCTCCACAAAAAGCAAAAAAACCCCAACATCACACCTGCCAACTTAGGTCCCACAGAGAACCTTACCATTGCCTGAACTGATTTCAGCAGAGACGGACAAAGATAGTTATCACTGGGATCAGCTCCGTGGTTCTAGCTTTGGATGCTCTTATGATATTAGACTGTGTTTAGCCTCACTAAATATAGCTTGTGAAACTCCTCAGGTGAATTTCACCCTTCTACAAGCATAGTGGCTATCATGCTTCATACAATGCTCTCTTCCAACTATGTAAACCCAATTTAAAACAGAGCACTGCAATAAAAAGAAACATTAAAGATGGAGAGAGGTAAGTAATTTGGCCTCCTACTTTAATCCTGTGTGTTTAAGCCTTCTGGCTAAAGTGTGACTGCAGTCTGTGTTTCTCTACCCAGGCTAGTACCATGTGATTAAATATTAATTAAATCTAAACCAATCCTACAACTAAATCTAAAATGCTTTTCCATAAAAGATCTGATTTAGCAATACATTGGAAATCTGACACACAGAAGTTGCTGCTATTCCTTCTCAGGGGAATTCATGACAATTATGCTTCATTCAGGAAGTTGAAACATTTAAAAGCAAGAGAGAAGACAGTGCAAAGAAACCCATTATTATATCTTTTTCTATAAAACAGAAGAGAGAGTTAACATTACTCTATCAAATATACCTTTTCCCACCCATCCCATCCATTCTTAGCTGATACCATCTTAGTGGTTTGGTTTTTTTTCCCCTTTCACATGTAGCTAGACATAAATCCTCTGTTCTAATGTAGCTGCTCTTTTCCACTGTCCCTCTAGAACACTTAGGTGAGCAAGAAAGCAGTACATACCATTTCGGGTATAGGTACTTCTAACTGTGTACCACAAGGTGCTTGAATTGCTAGAAGTGTGTCTCCTGGTTGAATAGCAATTTTTAAGAAAGTGTTAAATGTGCATATTTTTCTTAAGTCTTGCATGGTATCCACTCAAATGGGACATAGTAATTCTCTAAGGTCACTTAAAATACTGTGTAATTCTAGCAGATAAACTTGTGGTGAGACTTGCATAGTCCCTGTAAGATCCAAGTATACTGCATAATATAAATCACAGAATCCAAATACTTTGACCATAGCTGCAAGAACCTTTTCCTGCAGCAATGCAATATTTAGCACGTCCTTTACCTGCTTGTTACTTTCCTCAGATCTCATAGTTGTTTATGTATTGTGAGATTAAAATACTTAACTAGTTTGTCACCTGAAACAGCTCTCTGGTACAGCTCACCTGAGCTTTGGAGAATGGTAGTAGTACAGATAGATTTCACAAGAGAAGAAGAGGTCTTAATGATGGCCTTCAGTGCCAGCACTTTCCAGTATCTAAGCTCACAGCTTCTGCAGCATATATAGCCAAGACGTAACAGCTGCCTATCACACTCACCTGTGGCTTGCTAAGTGCACTGAAATGTTACAGTCAGAAGATCACAATTTTATCAGCAGCACTGGCACAACCTGCCTTACGCTGCAGGTCACTTACCTCCCTGCACATCAATTCCCCTTTGTCCGTAACTTGGCATAATGTTTTTCTTCCTCTGCCTCCTAAAAGACCTTTACATGAAGTACTATGTGACTGACATACTAGGTGCCTCTACATTTTGTCATGATTAACTGTTTTTAGTAACAGCTGATTCTGCTAAGCTCTGGAGTAGTTGATCTTGCACTTTTATTCAAAAACAAACCCAGCCTTCCTTGTGGCAAAAAAAAGGATGGTTTTGAGCCTAGCTGAAGGCTGAACAACAATCTTCCCTTGGATAATCCAAGATCAGGAGAGGATGTAATTTTTTGCCTGTACAGAAGGAATTATTTTGATGTAGTAGCAATCCCTCATCTTCAAACTTCAGCTGGCTCCACGTACATAGCATCATCAGGAGCTCCCTCTGGCCACAGCTCTAATTAGAAAATCTTATGAAAATTGGACCTGCCTGGTCTTTCTGGTGGGTTGGACCAAAATTTCCCATCCCCGGTTCCATTAACGGCCTGAGGCAAGGGGCTGCAAAGCATGACCAAAGAAAAAGACATCTGAAAACAGTACTCCAAAATGATCTGAGCTTCCATTCTGTACAACCTGTGACTACAACCAGAAAATGCCAGAACTCACTGGTCACAAACATTATGAGAGACATCTAACTACTACTGATCACTACTGAATATTTCTAAATTCAAACTATGTGTATGGAAAAAGCAGGTTAGTTAGCAAACTAGTTTTCAAGAGGAAGATCAGGAAATTCCTCACTTTAAGAAATACAGCCCAGCTGCAACTTACCATTGAAGCAGTTACAAATATCTTCATGGGTTACATATGAGAATGTAATTTACGTCAAGGAACAGTTTTCTTAAAGCAACACGAAACTGGTGTTGCTCTCTAGAAGCTTGACAAACTTAGCCTAAACTGCAAACTTACTGCTGTTACTCAAGAGGTGTAACCAAGGCATGATTTTTGGCTTTCAGAATGGCTAGTTCAAAATAGCACAATTCTGTTTTTTAAAGAAAAAGAGTATTTCTGTAAAGAAGATACAAAAAGGAAAAAGTTGCATGGCTTGAATGAGAAGATATTATTATAAAAAAAAAAAAGAAAAAGAAAAAAGAGAACAAGTAAAAACTTGTTTTAAAGAATGACATTCACCTCATGAACTTGACCCCACAGAATTCAACTGCGTATCAGGACTTCCCAGAATCAAACAAAAATACTGCCAGAGGGGACTTGAGAGTTCATCTGCCATCCCAGGCCCCTGCCTCAAGGTAGGATAAACTATTAAAGACATTCCAGACAGACTTTTTCCTCCCTGCCTCTGGAAAACCTCCAGTGATAGATATTCACCACCTCCCTGGAGGAAGGTCAATTCCAGTGTGAGCTCTCCCAAAGGAAAGGTTCTCATAATGTCTAAATTTAATCTCATTTCTACAAAACCCATTTTACAGGAATAATTTCTGCAGAGCAACTGCAAGAAATGTTTAAATTCTTTTCACTGATAAGATAGAAGATAGATAGTAGATAAGAAGGGGACTTTTCTGCTCCAAATCTCAGGTGTCTATTTGACTCAGTATCTTGCAAGACAGAGAAACACGTGGTTACAAGTAATGTAGAGGGAACTCTCTGCTTATGGGGTACTTAGAGACAGGGTATTTTCCCAGTTCCAAGCCAAACAAGCTTCAGGACTTTGCTAACTCAATTCATCTTTGGGCGATAGCTTAATCTTATCAAGAGGAGGAAGCAACACAAAAAAAGGTTCATATAAAGCACTGATAAGAAGTCATAGAAGCTAAAGAGTCATGTTAACACTTACATAAGATTTATATTATTTTTTTTTGAACCAAAACCAGAGAAAAAGTATTAAGTCTTCCCTTTCTTCTGGATAAAATAGAGTACATTACACTTCAGCCATTACCTACACTTTAACTGTTGCTTTAAATCTAGTTCCAAGATGCACACAATTAATTTGAAAGGATATTGGTGGTTTGTAGAATCATCCATTACATTCTTGATGCTTTGCTGAAGCCACAGCTTCTGCTGATCCAGTTCTTTTTCTTTTAGCTCTAGATCTTCAATTTCAGCTTCCAGATACCTCAGCCTGTCTATGACTTCTTTTGTATTGCAGCCAGCACCTACTCCTCTTAAAAAGGCAAAAGGGGTTGTGAAACCATAAGAAGTGAAAATCTAAAGTGAACATGCAAAGATAATATCTGAAGACTACTTTCACCATTTTGAAAATCAGTATGAAGGAAATGAGCATTTACCTTCCCAGCAGCATTTTAGCAGAAAAATACTTAACTTCAGATCAAATTTAGAATTTCCTCCCCCTTCTACATTTATTTTATTTTGCAATGTAGCTTCTTCAGTGTTAAAGCTGGTTTGTAGGCCCCTTCTCCATCCACTCTAACTCTTAGCTTGACTTTTCACCTTAAGCAACCCAAGAGAAAACAGGCATGGACTACAAGTGGCTAGGCAGGTGGAGACAGTGTGTCCCAATACCCTTCCCAGATTCACCTAGTGTAAATTTTTCAACTACAAGTGCTAGTTATAAAGCAGTACTGTAAGTTTTCAGAAAGTTTCTCTCCAGTATGCTTTAAACATGGTTTTATGTATCAAAGACACAAGTTAAATGGAAGAAAATCAATTTGAAACTTAACTGAGATCCTAAAATGTTCTACTGCTCATTGATGAGCGTAACGTTAATTTTATGGTGTCATATCCAGTCAGAAGTGAAAGGTAACAATTTTTGTTGCTTTTGAGCATGTGAAAATATGCAAAATAGACACAGCTTACTTCCACTGAATGCTGTTTTTTGACTTCTTCTCAATTAGATCAATTCCCTCCAAAACATTGGTGATATCATAGATCCTTCTCTTCTGCCTCACAGCAAGGGTATCAGCAGCCTGTCAAGAGAAGAACAACAAGCATCAGCAGCTTCCATGCTGAGGGCAAAAGGCAGCTAAGCCATTCCCTTGGACAAATGCCAAATAATGTAATTCTGAAGGGAGAAGACACAGCTTTTCAAAAGCCAGATGAATACTTCAGCACCTGCACGTAGTGCTACACAGAATGCCGAGAAAAGCCACCTCTTTGAAGGCCAGCAGGTCTACCCTTGTCAGACAGGAGAGTCGACGTGTGTTGCAAAGACCACCTTTGATATCTGGAGCACGTGCTATTTAAGTGCATGAAGAAGCATGCAGTGCTCTTTTTGGAAGCCAGGAAAATGCAGGGAAGGCAGAAAGCAATGCCCTGCAGTGGAGCAAATCTTGTTAAGTTTATCATCCCTTCCACTAACACTCAAGGTTTGGACTAAACTCTGCTGCGATATGAAACAACAGGCCTGTAATTTCACAGTGGCTGAAGCAGAGCTGCAATACTTCAAGCCAGCACCATCCTCTAACATTTCATCGCGTTAATCCATGCCACACCTGGGCTTGCTCCATCAGTCACAATGAGTACCAAGAGCTGTTTCGCAGTCACCAGAACCCTGGTACAGCTCACAGGGATACTTCTAGCTGCCACACTACCACTTTAACCACAGTTAGTTAGGCTGTGTGTCTGTGTGCTGTCACAGCTCATCACTTGAAGCAAAGCAAGAGTGTCAGGCAGAGAAAACAGTCTGCTTAATGCTGTACTTCTCTCTCCATGGTGATTTTTATGTACCTAATGCAAAAATGTAAGATAAAATAAGCAACCTTGAGCTAGTTGTGCCTTCCACACGCTCTTCTCTTTAATGCTGCAATGCTACTCAAGTAGCCTTTAGTAGTCTCCTTCAGCCAAAGACGAGTCTGCATCTGTCACTACTCGGGACACTCAGATGCAACGATTACAAGGGATTATATGGATTAAATGGATTAAAATAAAAAAGGAAGAGAAACAAAGAGAAGGATAGCTGGCAAAGACTCCTACATCCCAAATTTGAACTAATGTGTAAGCCAGCTGATTTCCACTATAGGCACATGATGAGTTATTTCAGATTGTCCAACAATTTATTGAATTAATGCTCTAAGTAAAGTAGCCTATATGAAGAGTATAATTCAAGACAACCATAAATAGAAGGAAAACCAATTCTATTTTATAGCAAAGTCCATATAACTCCTTTTACAGTATTTTCTGAACCATAAACAAACTCATTAATATTCTAAAGAAATTACACATTCCTATTAAAAAGTTAATTAGTTGGACTTAGTAGTCCAATTTATACTGAAGAATGTTTTGCAAGTAAAATTAAAGGAAAAATGAAAGAAGAATGGAAATGTTTAAAAATACCCTTATAGCCATGAAGCATAAACACTGCTCTCTCCTTAACCGTGATGTGAACACTGAACAGTGTTTCTACTGATACTGTTATCAAAAATTTTCTTTCATACTGGCTTCTGCAGCAGTCTCTTAAATTCTTTTCCTATCTAACAAAACAAAACACATACAAATACATACAGAGCATAAACTTTTTTTTTTCCCCCCCCTCAAGGAAACAGGCAGTTACATATGTATTTGGCTTGACTAGTACTATGTATAATTAAATCACAGATATGTAGTCTAACTACTACAACAAGAATTTCAACAAGGAAATCAAAGTGGGGCCACTCTGGAAAGTTTAGTTCAAACATTCACTAACTTTCTGGTACTTGTAACCTAAACTGTTTTGTATAACCTAATTACCTTCTTAAAATTTTATAGTGTGTTTCACAGACATTTTAAACATCAATTGGAAAGTTCCTCTCAAACACTCTAGCAGTTACCAATGTTAACACCTTCCACTAGGCCCATGGCCCAGAAATTAAGTTCAGGCATTCAGTCCCTCCACACAAACCACACACTAATGACTTCAATAATTAAAAGAGCCTCCTGAGACTTTTAAACAAATCTCATTTTCAAAAACACTTATAAAACTCCTAATTTCTGTCTATGTCAAATGGTTGAAGCAGATACGAGCAGCACAAGGAAGGGACATCTACCACAATGGCCCAGTTAAGATGGCTGGATGTAGCTTCCACATTCCTTCCTCTGAATCATCTGTATTTGGAGTTCCTTCATAAAATCTTTTAAATGTAAAGCTGATGCACTCTAGTAATTTCTTCTGATATTATCTCCTGATAGTATCTCCTGATATTTTGAATATGCATATGCTGAAGCCAAGCACTATATTAGTGTCTCACAGACAGGTTCTGAGCTGGAAGAAAAACACCTAAGCATGGTGCCTTGGTTCTCTGTGCATTCAGAATGTAAAACTTCAGGAATACAGAAAAGGTGCCATTCAGCACAGCTTCAGCTGCAGTAATGCACACACACACAACGTCCTGCCCAGAAATGAAAAAAAACCACAACCAAACCCAAAGCAGAGAAAGGATAATTGAGAGTTTGGGTGCACATGTTCCACACGACTTCTTTTTTGCTCCCTGGGAGCCGATGAAAGGCAGTGGGAATTACCAGCTGCACATTTGCTACCTTAGCACTGAAGAGCAGAAGAGCTGGCTAGAGCACTGTGGCAGAGTCATAACTGAGAAGTTTAACAAAGCAGAAGGGGCAGCAACGCCCACTTGCTCTCCATGTGTCAAAGGAAAGTGGTGCTGCATCTTCCAGCCTGTCCAGCGATGTTATCTTCTCCCCAAGAGGACTGTCAACAGCTCTGTGGGATTTTGAAACTGATGGGTGTCTTGGGAAACCTTTATGTAAAACTACTGAATATCAATGACTGCATAAAGGGAATGTAAAATTTAATAGATATGCTTTTTTTCTTCTTCTTCTGTGGGGCAGGGCAAGTGTAAGGCAGTTGTTATTTCCTCCTGATAACACATTTCTAAAAGCAGTAACAAACAAGTGATGTTTTGCACTGATGTTGAGAAACACTACTTAACCTTGAGAATAGCAGAGATGGCATTCTGCTATCAACCCATCCCATTTAAGAAATCAAGGCAGAAACAATTGTATTCTACTGAAAAGAAAGAATATACAAAGTCTGGGAGTAATTTCAGGCGACTTATCCCTCACTGACTTGCTCTTTTTCTCTCTCCCCTGCAATTTGTTGGTTGCTGCATTCAAGACCTTTGCTTACTTTTCCTTCCATCTCCTCCCTTAATGTTTTAATCTTACTTCCATAACTAGGGCTATATAGGATTATTCAGGGACCGGTATGCAATTATTCAAGAGTAGGCCTTTGATTTTAAAGTAAGCACTGCAGGATTCAAATTCCAAGTAAAGAAAATCCTCACTTCTGCTACCATGACTTGTCAGAGATGAGCAGAGCAATGTCCAGCATTAAAACACTTCCAAAAAAATTCAGCATACAGAACCTGCAGGGCTCCCCTCCCTGCACCTAAAGTGAGGAACAGTGACCACACACAGGACGATGCATCCCTACTGCTTCGTCATGGGTCAGCACACATGTCCCAAAGTATCCTCTTACAGATTGCTTAACTATAATTATAGATGTTTCAAAAAATCACGAGGAAAAGTCCTACAAAACAGCTTTCCACTCTCAGTTGCTGTATCACTAAGCCAGTACACCAAATGCTTCCAAATTGTATTTTCTTCATAGCTTTGCTATAAAAATACTACTCAGCTGCATGACATCGGATGGTCAATGCCTGTCAGCAGGGAGACATCTGAAGATGCTCACCACATGAACGGTTTCTTGGAACACACTATTCCTCAGAGTCCCTGAGCACACCGACACAACGTGCATGCTGGTTTTCTTTTTTTTTCTAAGATATGTGCCTTATTTATGAGAAATACCAGTTACAGAGAAGTACATTCTGACTCACTGTATATGAAAGTACCAATGATTTATTCACTTCAGTTAGCATTTACTTCCAACAAACGGTATCCTGTAATTCAGATACCAGTCTCCAATCAAGATCTTGAGCAGAAATGTCTATGACTTGTTGCAATGCCCACTTTTCCCTGGCTGTCAACCCTTCCATTCCCACTGGGTGGCTACCCTCCTAACGAAAGAGAATGAGAAACATCCTCCTATTCCTACACATAGCCCAACTTTATATCTCTTTGGCTCTTTAAGCTAAGTTTTTTGGCCTGTTGTCTTACAGACTATGTTTTGTTTGTAACCGGCCTGGAAGACAGTCACACCACCTGACAGACAATAAAGTCAGCTGCGTAACAGTCTCCCAGATGCGGACAGCTTTGTTCTGTTTTACTAAAGGAAGAGGCAGTTAAATACAAAGAAGTTAATCATGTGTATAGACCACAACATAACTAAAGGAGGAGTATAAAGCCTAACTGGTATCCTTCCCTGTTCACCATGAGGTTCCACCAGCCACTGTAATACCACTGAAGCGCTTGCTCTCTGAACAGGGATGCACAAAAAGCTCCAAGAACACTGTTCACCTCCTGCAGCCGCTTAAAAATGATCAACAAATAGGATCAGTTTTCCAGAAAGGACTTCAAGTAACCAAAGTGCCAAGCCAGCCTCTCGCTGCACTTTGCTTAACTGCTCAGCAGTTTCCCGCGGACCTTATCCAGCAGGAAAAAACACACTTTCGCCTCGATGCACAGAGCCCCAGCTCGTTGGCCAGCACGGCTGCACGGTCCGGGAGCCGGCAAGCGGGACAGGGCACCACGGGGTCTCTCCTGAGACAGAGGGACCGCCCGGCATGAGGCCCGGCTGCGAGGTGGGCTCGTCCTGAGGCTCAGCGGGGAAGTCCTCGCTTGGCTGCGTCCAACACCTTCACACCTGGGAGACGGCAGCAAGGGGGAAGGCGATTTGCCAGCCCCCTCCCCCAGTTAAGCATCTTTCATACACACACACACACATATATATATATATGTAAAAGCATTAAAAGAGCAACAGCCTGCTTTTCAACATCGTCTTCCCTTCCTAAAAGGACTCCGAAGAGGATGGCGAGACATAGGTTTAAATAAGTCCCCGTGCACCGAGTCAGTGCACAGCGCAACACAGTAAAAGAAAAAAACCAAACCAAACCAAAAAACAGCCCAGCTGACTATATTTTATGCACGGTAGCCATTTTACCCCCTTGCCAAAGAGTCGGAAGGGGCATTCCGGCCGCCCGCACCGGCTGTCAGC